TAAAGTGATGCTTAACTTGAAACATAATATGTAAACACATATAGATTCGTAGCTTATCAATCTTTAATGAGTTATACGTCATGTCTAAAATGCTTTGGAAGGAGATGAGGAGAGGAACATGAACTAAATGTAGCTTTCTAAATTGTTCTGAAAATGGGTCTCCGCTCGAGCACCACTTTGGCCGCTCGAGCGTACTGTACAATTTAACAAAAAAAACTAGGAGGTCGATTTTCATGCTCGAGGGGGTTTCCCCCACCGCCTCGCCCCCCCAGCCGCCCCCGCGCTCGAGCGGACCATGCAAATTCTGAAATTCTGAAATTTAAATTACAGCTCCAACCTGATATCCAAAACTTCAACACATGTACATCCAATGCTTCAACACATGTACTTAGGCATACAAATACAAAGTCCACACAGTTAGTCTGAGTCTGTATTACTTCATAATGGTCGTAAGCCCTGTCTTGGAACATATTGGCTTGAATATAACGTTGTGGTTTAATGCCCTTGAATGGTGCAGCATAAGCCCTTAATCATGGTGGCACACAGCCCTTAAACATGGTGGCACGAGGCCCTTAAACATGATGGCGCAAGGCCCTTGAATAAAGTGGCATAAAGCCCTTGGATAATTTTGCATTAAGCCCTTGAATATTGGCATTAAGCCCTTGTATATCCTTGTATGAAGTCAAGAGGTGACTCACACGGATTCTAGTGGTGACTCACATCGTAGCACTTAGTTCCGTGTAGCACTTTGTTTCATATCATAATAACTTATAGTGTATGGTCATGGGCCCAGAGTCTTATACAATGAAAGTATTTCATCTTTCCCATTTCTTTAGGAACATACGTTAAAATATGAACATAGTTGCATAACGTGCATGAACAAGTGCCAATGACAAGCATTAGCTATATGTAAAGCGTATAATAGTACTACTACTCACAGTGTTGTGATGACGTGCTACTTCCTCCCGGAGTATGTCCTGCACACATTCAAAACTTGTACATTAGTTCTTTCTTTTTCCTTATTAAATTAGTTTCTGAGTCATTACGCTCCCAATGAATTTACAGTCATTTTAAGGGCATCAAAAAAATAATCTAAAAATTGCAGAGGATCAAGGACGCAAAACAGAACAAATATTTTTTTCTTCTTTTCCGCTCGAGCGCCCGAACCTCCGCTCGAGCGTCCGTGTCCCTGTTTTGGGGCAGTTCGATTTCAACTCAAAATTCAGCAACACCAATTCATTATACATGCAAATCAAGATGAAATTAATGCAATATATTGACCTAACTTCACTATAACATGAATTATCATTTGAATACCACAAAATAAACATGATTAGAAGCTTAATCACTCTAAAACATAACATCTTGCACATATATACTTTCATGGGGTTGGCATAAACCAAAGATTGAAGTGTGACTTTCACATAACACCTAAATTAGGTGGCAAAACAACCAATTGATAAGAAACCTTCTTTAATCAACCATAAATCATACATAATACAAACTTAAATCATACATAATACAAACCCTAAGTTGTCAAAACAAGAAATCGCCCTTCCTTAAGTCCAAGTGAAGGTTAAATAGATTGGATGGAGCTTACCTTGAATTAAATTCCACAACTTTCTTTAATTTGAAAATCTTCTTTGATGAATTTTTTTTCCCCCAATTCTTTTTCTTCACACCCTCTATTTTCCTCTCCCAGGAGATTTTGGATGGAAAGGTTCTTGAGCCTTAACTCAATAATACACTTAGAGACATATATAGACATACATAAGAAAACATATATAAGGAATATAAGACAAAATCCAATCGTTTAATTATTCCGAAATTAAAATTTTGTAAACATGCTTAATATTACATAAAAATTATGTTGATCACATATAAAAAGTCAATTTCAGATAATTAAGCCCCTAAGGCTTCCAATTTCTAATTCAAACGTTTTAAATATAACAGATACTTTTCTTGTTAAACAGATAGACATCCTTAAGCATGGATTTCATTTACTTAACCGTAATTTCTCATGAGATTTCACAGTAAACAGTTAAAAGCACAAAATAAGGACTGACAATATATCAAAAACATGTACGAGGGTCGAGTTATTACACTCTCCCCTCCTTAAGTAAGTTTGGTCCTCCAAACTTGTTTTACCTTAGGATTGAAATATGTGAGGGTATTGGTGTTGCATTTCCTCTTCTTTTTCCCTAGTTGCATCGGTTCCGTAATGTTCTTGCCACTCAACTTTTACCATTTGAATTTCTCGATTTCGTAATTGTTTCACTTGTCGGTCCAAAATTCGGACTGCTTTCTCTTTATACGTCAATTTCTCATCCAATTCAATTTGGTGGTAGTCAATAACATAAGACGGGTCCGGGAGGTACCCTCGAAGCATAGAGATATGAAACACATTATGTACTTGACTCATATTTGGTGGTAGAGCAACCCGGTAAGCTACTGCACCCACTTTCTCCAAAATTTGGAATGGACCTACGTATCGGGGTGTTAACTTACCCCTTGTCCCGAATCTCGGATGTCCTTTCATCGGGGTGACTTTTACAAAAACATGACTATCAACTTCAAACTTCAAATTCCAAATTCCTTCGTCGGTTATCAGCATAGCTTTTCTGCCTACTATGAGCAGTCTTCAGTCTTTCCCGAATTATTTTAACCTTTTCAGTTGTCAATTGAACAATTTCAGGCCCTAGCAAGGATTTATCTCCAACTTCAGACCAACAAACGAGAGAACGACATGGTCTTCCATACAATGCTTCATAGGGTGCCATGTTTGTACTCGAATGGTAGATATTATTGTACGCAAATTCTACCAACGGGAGATGGGTTTCCCAACTTTCTTGAAAATGTAGCACACACATTCGGAGCATATCCTCAAGAGTCTGTATCGTTCTCTCGGATTGACCATCGGTCTGAGGGTGGAAAGCTATGCTGAACTTTAATTCTGTACCCTTTGCTTCTTATAAACTTTGCTAGAATCTAGAAACAAACTTCGGATCTCTATCTGATACAATTGAGACTGGAACACCATGAAGTCTCACAATCTCATTCACATAAAGTACCGCTAGCTTATCTGCATTATACTGAGTCTTCACTGGTAGGAAGTGAGCGGACATAGTTAATCGGTCCACAATGACCCATATTGAATTCATGCCCCGAGCACTCCGTGGTAACCCCATAACAAAATCCATGGTAAAATGTTCCCATTTCCATTCCGGGATGGGAAGGGGTTGTAACAACCCGGCTGGTCTTTGATGCTCCGCTTTTACTTGCTGGCAGTGCAAACATTTAGAGACGAACTCTACGATCTCCTTCTTCATACTTGGCCACCAAAAGTTTTGCCTCAGATCTCGGTACATTTTGGTACTCCCTGGATGCATTGAAAATCTTGAAGTATGGGCTTCTTCTATCAATTTTTGTTTAAGGTTCAACACATTGGGAACACATACCCAGTTTTGAAATTTGAGCACCGCATCTACTAAACTCAACTCCAGTTTCACCTTAGTTCCTAACTCATCACATATCTTTCTTAGGGTTTCATCTTTCATCTGTTGCAATTTGATTTCCTCAGGTAGGGTTGGTTGGGCCATCCTTGCTGCCATTAAAGCTTCTTGCCCATGTAACACAAGGTCCACTTGCATTTTAATCAATTCAGTTGCCAATTTCTTTTGCCCTATAATCAAAGGTGCTAAAGTTCCCATACTTTTCCGACTAAGCGCATCCACAACTGTGTTAGCTTTGCCAGGCTGGTAATGGATCTGCAAATCATAATCTTTAATAAGTTCCGACCACCGTCGTTGCCGTATATTCAACTCTTTTTGAGTAAAAAGGTACTTGAGACTCTTATGGTCGGTGTACACTTTGCAAGTAGTGCCATACAAATAGTGTCTCCAGATCTTCAAAGCAAAGACTACTGCTGGTAGCTCCAGATCATGTGTGGCATAATTCTTCCCATGAGGTTTTAACTGTTGAGAGGCATAAGCGACAACCCGTCCACGTTGCATAAGTACACAACCAAGCCCTTTATGTGAAGCATCACGGTAGATTACAAACCCTTCAGTCCCAAATGGTAAAGCCAACACGGGTGTTGTAGTCAACCTTGTCTTCAATTCTTGAAAAGCAGATTCTCGTTCTTCTGACCATTCAAATGCAACTCCCTTTCGAGTCAATTGTGTAAGCGGCACAGAAATTTTAGAAAAATCTTGTACAAACCGTCTGTAATAGCCGGCTAACCCCATAAAACTACGCACTTTTGTCACATTAGTGGGAGTTGGCCAATTCACGATTGCCTCAATCTTGCGTGGATCAACAGAAATCCCTTCCTTGGTGATAACATGCCCCAGAAATGCCACCTCTAGTAGCCAAAATTCACATTTCTTTAGCTTTGCATACAGTTTCTCTTCTCAGAGAGTTTGGAGGATCAGGCGAAGATGATTCTCATGAGCTTCTGCATTCTCTGAATAGATTAGAATATCATCAATAAAGACTACCACAAATTCGTCCAAATAGGGCTTGAAGACACGGTTCATCAAATCCATAAAGGCTGCTGGGGCGTTAGTAACTCCGAAGGGCATAACCAAAAATTCATAATGCCCGTACCGGGTCCGAAAAGCTGTCTTCTCAACATCACTAGCCTTGACTTTTAATTGATGGTATCCAGACCGTAAATCGATTTTAGAAAAGACTTGTGCTCCTTGAAGCTGATCAAATAAGTCATCGATCCTTGGTAATGGGTACTTATTTTTGATTGTTACCTTATTAAGTTCCCTGTAATCGACACAAAGCCGAACTATCCCATCTTTCTTCTTCATAAAGAGAACTGGTGCTCCCCATAGAGACAAACTTGGACGAATGAATCCCTTGTCCAGTAAATCTTGCAACTGAATTTTCAATTCCTTCATCTCAACTGGTGACATTCTCTACGGAGTCTTCGAGATGGGTTGGGTTCCCGGTGCCACTTCGATTGTAAACTCAATTTCCCGGTCTATCAATTACCCTGGCAACTCTGCTGGAAATATGTCCGAGAATTCACAAACAACTGGAATTATGTCGGTACCTCCATTCACCACTTGCTCTTCCACAACACTACACAAATACCCTCGACACCCTTTCTTAATTAACCTACTAGCCTTTGCTGCAGAGATCAAATACGGTGGAGAAGTCACCTCCTGTCCCTGAAATGTAAATTCTGCTTGACCCGGAGGGTGGAAACTAACTTGCTTCGTCAAACAGTTTATAGTTACACCATATTCACTCAGCCAGTCCATTCCCAGTACAATATCAAAATACATCATATCGAGAGGTAACAAGTTAGCGTGTACCTGAATATCCCCAAGGTGAAGTTCACAAGCAACATATATCAAGGTACAAATCATAGAATCCCCCAAAGGTGAAGACACACACAGCATATAAGATAGTACTTCCTTTGATTTATCTAAATTAGGAGTAAATAATTTTGACACAAAAGAATGGTAGAGCCAGAATCAAACAGTACACAAGTAGAATAACCGTGAACCATACATGTACCTGACACCACTATTGCCGCCTTTTGCACATCTCCCGGAACTAATGCAAACACCCTGCCTTGTCTCGTGGTGTCTTTATTATTAGTAGCTTTGACCGGTGCTTTGGTGTTGGTAGTTGGTGGAGACCCCGCTGAACTGATTTGTTGCTTCCTCTGAGGGCAATCCCTTATCATATGACCCGTTTTTCCACACTGGAAGTAGGCTCCAGTCTTCCGATAGCATATCCCATGGTGTTTCTTTCCACATTCCACATATACGGGAATTGAATCTTGCCTAGGGGTGGATACATTGGAAGTCCCTGAATTTTGTTTCTTATTTGGTGGGGTCGTTACCCCCTTCGACTATTGATTGTCTTGCCTTTTCACCTTCCATTCAGTAATTCGATTTTGTGCAGCAATATTCCCTTCTGCTATAATGGCCTTCTCCAACACCTCTACATAGGTAGGCAGCTTCAACATATTAACTCGATCCAGAATAGCACCCCATAATCCCCCTTCAAATTTTCACGCCTTCTTATAGTCCGTGTCCACCATGTGAGGTGCGAACTGAGCCAACTCGGCAAATTGGGCTTCATACTCAGCAACAGTCTTGTTCCTTGCCTAAGAGTTTCGAATTCAGTCACCTTTTTGTCTCGCATACTTTGTGGGAAATATTTATGATAAAATATCTCCAAGAACCTATCCCATGTCAATCCTTGATGTATAGTTCTCGTAAGCATCCACCATCACCGTGCCTCATCCTCGAAAGTGAAGGCAGCCAATTGCACCTTCTGAGCTTCGGTACAAGGAAAGACTTCAAATAACTTCTCTATTCCCAACACCCATGCTTCAGCTTTCATTGGTTCTATTCCACCTTTGAAGGATGGCGGTTTCATCTTTTTAAACTCCTTGGTCAGGGTGATGGCTAGTCTTCAGCATGAAAATCTTGTAGTGCCGGTGGAGGAACCAGTGGCGGTGGCGGTGGTTGTTGTGGCTGTTGCTGTTGTTGCCGTAGGGTCTCCGCCATCTCCATAATCATTCTTTCCATCCTATCCAATCGTGCAGAAGTAGCATCTTCTGGATCTTCGGCCCTTGTTCTCACCGTCACCTACATAACAATCAATTTTATACAATAGACATAATTCAATAGTGTTAACATTATCAGAGTACACTTGACGTTGCCATCGATCTTCTCCTATACTTACAGGATGTCATGCATGATGCCTAAGTCTTTTCTAGACACCCTAGAGCTCAATGGATCCGTGTGTGGGATAGCAACTCGTGCTCTGATACCACTTGTCACTCCCCAAACTCGCACCTACAAGTTTGGGCAAGACCCATTCAAAAACGGATAAATAATCGAATATACATAGCAAACAGGGCCTTAACGGAAGCACCAAGATTTAACATAATATAACAAACTCCATTGAGTTACCTCTAATATGCCAGGATCAAATGCATCATATACAATACAAGCCAAAATTATACCTCGAGCATCAGTCATATATGTATATATATATATATTTATATACAGTCCCAGCCCTATGATCGAGCATATACAAAAACATTAAAGTTATGTACATTCAACCTTAAATGAGTGATCAAAATACAAGTCAACATCTTAGCGAAGCTTCACAAACATAAGCGATCTCGCCTAGTGCCCAGACTCATAACGGTTGACAAAAGGAAATGGACGTCCTGGGTTAGGACTGACCTCCTGGTTGGTTACCTACAGAAATAGACATAACAGAGGGTGAGCCGAGCTCAGTGAATAGTAATACTTAAATAAAGCGATGCTTAACTTGAAACATAATATGTAAACACATATAGATTCGTAGCTTATCAATCTTTAATGAGTTATATGTCATGTCTAAAATGCTTTGGAAAGAGATGATGAGAGGAATATGAACTAAATGTAGCTTTCTAAATTGTTCTGAAAATGGGTCTCCGCTCGAGCGCCACTTTGGCCGCTCGAGCGTACTGTACAATTTAAAAAAAAAAATATTGGGAGGTCGATTTTCACACTCGAGCGGGTTTCCTCCCCCCCCCTCCGGCGCTCGAGCGGACCATGCAAACTCTGAAATTCTGAAATTTAAATTACAGCTCCAACCTGATATCAATAACTTCAACACATGTACATCTAAAGCTTCAACACATGTACTTAGGTATACAAATGCAAAGTCCACAGAGTTAGTCTGAGTCTGTATTACTTCATAATGGTCTTAAGCCCTGCCTTGGAACATATTGGCTTGAATATAACGTTTTGGATTAAAGCCCTTGAATGGTGTGGCATAAGCCCTTAATCATGGTGGCACAAAGCCCTTAAACATGGTGGCTCGAGGCCCTTAAACATGATGGCGCAAGGCCCTTGAATAAAGTGGCATAGAGCCCTTGGATAATTTGGCATTAAGCCCTTGAATATTGGCATTAAGCCCTTGTATATCCTTGTATGAACTCAAGAGGTGACTCACATCGTAGCATTTAGTTCCGTGTAGCACTTTGTTTCATATCATAATAACTTATAGTGTATGGTCATGGGCCCAGATCCTCATAAAATGAAAGTATTTCATCTTTCCCATTTCTTTAGATACATATGTTAAAATATGAACATAGTTGCATAACGTACATGAGCAAGTGCCAATGACAAGCATTAGCTATATGTGAAGCGTATAATAGTACTACTACTCACAGTGTTGTGATGACGTGCTACTTCCTCCCGGAGTGTGTCCTGCACACATTCAAAACTTGTACATTAGTTCTTTCTTTTTCCTTGTTAAATTAGTTTCTGACTCATTACGCTCCCAATGAATTTACAGTCATTTTAAGGGCATCAAAAAAATAATCTAAAAATAGCAGAGGATCAAGCACGCAAAACAGAACAAATAATTTTTTCTTCTTTTCCGCTCGAGGGCCCAAACCTCCGCTCGAGCGTCCGTGTCCCTGTTTTGGGGTTGTTCGATTTCAACTCAAGATTCAGCAACACCACTTCATTATACATGCAAATCAAGATGAAATTCATGCAATATATTGACCCAACTTCACTATAACATGAATTATCATTTGAATACCACAAAATAAACATGATTAGAAGCTTAATCACTCTAAAACATAACATCTTGCACATATATACTTTCATGGGGTTGGCATAAACCAAAGATTGAAGTGTGACTTTCACATAACACCTAAATTAGGTGGCAAAACAACCAAATGATAAGAAACCTTCTTTAATCAACCATAAATCATACATAATACAAACTTAAATCATACATAATACAAACCCTAAGTTGTCAAAACAAGAAATCACCCTTCCTTAAGTCCAAGTGAAGGTTAAATAGATTGGATGGAGCTTACCTTGAATTAAATTCCACAACTTTCTTTAACTTGACAATCTTCTTTGATGAATTTCTTTTCCCCCAATTCTTTTTCTTCACACCCTCTATTTTCCTCTCCCAGGAGATTTTGGATGGAAAGGTTCTTGAGTCTTAACTCAATAATACACTTAGAGGCATATATAGACATACACAATAAAACATATATAAGGCATATAAGACAAAATCCAATCGTTTAATCATTTCGAAATTGAAATTTCGTAAACATGCTTAATATTACATAAAAATTATGTTGATCACATATATAAAGTCAATTTCAGATAATTAAGCCCCTAAGGCTTCCAATTTCTAATTCAAACGTTTTAAATATAACAGATACTTTTCTTGTTAAACAGATAGACATTCTTAAGCATGGAATTCGTTTACTTAACCGTAATTTCTCATAAGATTTCACAGTAAATAGTTAAAAACGCAAAATAAGGACTGACAATATATCAGAAACATGTACGAGGGTCGGGTTATTACACTCTCCCCCCCTTAAGTAAGTTTGGTCCTTCAAACTTGTTTTACCTTAGGATTGAAATAGGTGAGGGTATTGGTGTTGCATTTCCTCTTCTTTTTCCCAAGTTGCGTCGGTTTCGTAATGTTCTTGCCACTCAACTTTTACCATTTGAATTTCTCAGTTTCGTAATTGTTTCACTTGTCGGTCCAAAATTCGGACTGCTTTCTATTTATACGTCAATTTCTCATCCAATTCAATTTGGTGATAGTCAATAACATGCGACGGGTCCGGGAGGTACCCTCGAAGCATAGAGATATGAAACACATTATGTACTCGACTCATATTTGGTGGTAGAGCAACCCAGCAAGTTACTGGACCCACTTTCTCCGAAATTTGGAATGGACCTACGTATCGGGGTGTTAACTTACCCCTTTTCCCGAATCTCGGATGTCCTTTCATCGGGGTGACTTTTACAAAAACATGACTATCAACTTCAAACTTCAAATTCCAAATTCCTTCGTCGGTTATCCGCATAGCTCTTCTGCCTACTTTGAGCAGTCTTCAGTCTTTCCCGAATGATTTTAACCTTTTCAGTTGTCAATTGAACAATTTCAGGCCCTAGCAAGGATTTATCTCCAACTTCAGCCCAACATACGGGAGAACGACATAGTCTTCCATATAACGCTTCATAGGGTGCCATGTTTATACTCGAAAGGTAGCTATCATTGTGCGCAAATTCTTCTAACGGGAGATGGGTTTCCCAACTTTCTTGAAAATCTAGCACACACATTCGGAGTATATCCTCAAGAGTCTGTATCGTTCTCTCGGATTGACCATTGGTCTGAGGGTGGAAAGTTGTGCTGAACTTTAATTCTATACCCATTGCTTCTTGTAAACTTTTCCAGAATCTAGAAACAAACATGGATCTCTATCTGATACAATTGAGACCAGAACACCATGAAGTCTCACAATCTCATTCACATAAAGTACCGCTAGTTTATCTGCATTATACTGAGTCTTCACTGGTAGGAAGTGAGCAGACTTAGTTAATCGGTCCACAATGACCCATATTGAATTCATGCCCCGAGCAGTCCGTGGTAACCCCACAACAAAATCCATGGTAAAATGTTCCCATTTCCATTCCGGGATGGGAAGGGGTTGTAACAACCCGGCTGGTCTTTGATGCTCCGCTTTTACTTGCTGGCAGTGCAAACATTTAGAGACGAACTCTATGATCTCCTTCTTCATACTTGGCCACCAAAAGTTTTGCCTCAGATCTCGGTACATTTAGGTACTCCCTGGATGCATTGAAAATCTTGAAGTATGGGCTTCTTCTATCAATTTTTGTTTAAGGTTCAACACATTGGGAACACATACCCGGTTTTGAAATTTGAGCACCGCATCTACTAAATTGAACTTCGGTTTCACCTTAGTTCCTAACTCATCACACATCTTTCTTAGAGTTTCATCTTCCATCTAATGCAATTTGATTTCCTCAAGTAGGGTTGGTTGGGCCATCACTGCTGCCATTAAAACTTCCTGCCCATGTAACACAAGATCCATTTCCATTTTAATCAATTCAGTTGCCAATTTCTTTTTCCCTATAATCAAAGGTGCTAAAGTTCCCATACTTTTCCGACTAAGCGCAT